TTCTGCATAGTTCTGAAGCTGCAGCAGTTGTTCTTATGCCTTCTTGATTGTAAGTTTCATAGAAGCTGCCAATTTCCAAGGGATTTAATCTCCTTTGGATGGAGCCAGGTCAATAGCTACAAAACTGTCTGAGAATGTCTGCCATTGACCTCCTCTCTGTCTAGAAAGGTGTCTTAGTCTCTCAGCGCTTTGGGAGGTTGAGGCGGGCAGATCACAAGGTCAGGAGATTGAGAACATCTTGGCCAACATGGTGAAACCCCGTCTCTACTAAAAATACAAAAATTAGCCGGGAGTGGTGGCATGCGCCTGTAGTGCCAGCTACTCTGGAGGCTGAGGCAGGAGAATCTCTTGAACCCAGTAGGCGGAGGTTGCAGTGAGCTGAGACTGCGCCACTGCACTCCAGTCTGGGTGACAAGAGTGAAACCCTATCTGAAAAAAAAAAAGAAAGAAAGTTATCTTAGTCTATTAAGGCTGCTGTAACAAAATACCATAAACGGGGTGGCTTATACACAACAGAAATTTCTTACAGTTCTAGAGGCTGGGAAGCTAAAAATCAATGTGCCAGCAGATTTGATGTCTGGGGAGAGCATGCTTCCTTGTTCATAGGTGATGCCTTCTTGCTGTGTCTTCACATGGTGGAAGGGGTGAGGCAGCTCTCTGGGGCCTCTTCTATAAGAGCACTAATCCCATTTGTGATGGCTCTGCCTTCATAACCTGATCACCTTCCCATGTTGTTATTAAGAAGATATTAAGTTGATATTAAGAAGAGGTCCCACTTCTTAATATCATCACTGTGGTGGTTAGAATTTCAACATATGAATTTAGGAGGACGCAAACATTCAGACTATAGCAAAAGAAGTTTTGTGCCTTAAGAAGTTCTATGGGTTATAACAGGTCAAAACTGTTTTTTTTTTTTTTTTTGAGATGGAGTGTCACTCTGTCACCCAGGCTGGAGTGCAATGGTGTGGTCTCTGCTCACTGCAACCTCCGCCTCCTGGGTTCAAGTGATTCTCCTGCCTCAGCCTCCAGAGTAGCTGGGATTACAGGTGCCCGCCACCACGCCCGGCTAATTTTTGCATTTTTAGTAGAGACGGGGTTTCACTATCTTGGCCAGGCTGGTCTCGAACTCCTGACCTCGTGATCCACCCGCCTCGGCCTCCCAAAGTGCTGGGATTACAGGTGTGAGCCACCACGCCTGGCCAAAACTGGTTTCTGGTTTATGAGTTCAACAGGTATTTGACTCAAGATTCCTCAATTTAGTGATGTCACACAAAATGGTATAAATAAATCTGATTTTTTTTTCCATCTGGACATCCATATCCCAAGCAGTCACATCTCCTCTAGATCATGTCCTAATCTTAGAGCAGTTGCTCCCATTTCTCAGACTTTCTAGTGGGATAGTGAGAGCCTTCAGAGTATAGAACAGGCTCACTTGTGCCATGATTCAGATACTCAGCCACAGTGAAGATGCACTCTAAGCCCAACCCTAGGGAGAGATTTCAATCTGTGACAGTAGTCTCCAAATGTCATCAATGTAAGTCACAGTCATCTCAAAGCCCTTTAGCAATACATAATCAGAAGTTGAGCAACTAAATGACAGTTGTTAGTTTTATTATCATCAGTAAAAGAACACAAAGAGATTTCATTCATCGGGGCAGCAACATTCTCATTCCCCTTTCTCTCTCATTACCTTGCCGCACAACACCAATGCCTTCTCACAGTTTCCTCTTACATGATTCTAGGTTTCTTCAAGAAGGCTTTCCTGCAGCCTAGTTAGCACAGAATTCTTCATCTTTCTCCCTACTTCTCTCTCAGCTCTTTACCATGTAGGCCAATTTAGCCTCCCTGGCTTGCTTCCTGCCTGACAACCTCCCTCTTTACCCAAGTTCTACCCTAGAAGCAATTAGGTAAAAGTAGATGCGCCGGGCGCGGTGGCTCACGCCTGTAATCCCAGCACTTTGGGAGGCTGAGGTGGGTGGATCATGAGGTCAGGAGATCAAGACCATCCTGGCGAACACGGTGAAACCCCGTCTCTACTGAAAATACAAAAATTAGCCGGGCGTGGTGGTGGGCGCCTGTAGTCCTAGCTTCTAGGGAGGCTGAGGCAGGAGAATGGCGTGAACCCGGGAGGTGGTGGAGCTTGTAGTGAGCGGAGATCGTGCCACTGCACTCTAGCCTGGGCGACAGAGGGAAACCCCATCTCAAAAAAAAAAAAAAAAAAAAAAAAAAAAGTAGATGCATCAATAAAACATCTTTTCTTCTTAGGAAAGAAGGGTTGGGAGGGAAGGAAGAAGACAGCAAATACTTATCATTTGATATCTTTTATTCTGTTACTTTCTTTTTTTTTAAAATGATTTAACCACAAAATGAAAACATGAAATAATGCTTTTTCTTTGAGAATATACCTGAACACTTTATCTCAATTGTCAGGAAGTGCAGAACTAAATTCAGAGCTGTACTGGTCTTTGTTTGCTCTTTGTCTATTCATTCCTTACTGATATGTTTATTTATTTATTTCAAGTTAATTTATTTTGATCCTTTTAAAGAGCTTCCTTGTAAATGCACTTTCAAATAACAGCTTTATCAAGATACAGTTGATATATCATAAAATTCCCTTTTTAAAAGTGTACAATTTAGGCAGGGTGCAGTGGCTCACACCTGTATTCCCAACAGTTTGGGAGGCTAAGGTGAGAGGATACTTGGGGCCAGGGGTTCAAGGTCAGCCTGGCCAGCATGGCAAAATCATGTCTCTACTAAAAATACAAAAATTAGCTGGGCATGGTAGCGCACACCTGTAATCCCAGTTACTGGGGAAGCTGTGGCACAAGAATTGCTCAAAACCAGAAAGCAGAGGCTGCAGTGAGCTGAGATTGTGCCACTGCACTCTAGCCTGGGTGACAGAGCAAGTCCCTGTCTCAAAAACGTGTACAATTTAGTGATTTTTAGTATATGTACATATAGCAAATGGCACCACTATCATGTTTCAGAACATTTTCATCACCTCCAAGAGAAACCCTGTACCCATAAATGGTTGCTCCCCATTCTGCCCTCCTACTAGCCCCTGGCCTTTTCTGGATCTTTCATGTAAATGGGATAATAGAATATGTGTTCTTTTTTGCAATTGGCTTCTTTCCCTTAGCATGATGTTTTCAAGGTTTACCCATGTGGTAGCATGTCACAATACTCTATTCTTTTTTACTGCTGAATGATAGTCCATTGTATGGCTATACTACATTTTGTTCTTCCATTCACCAGCTGATGGCATTTGGGTTGTTTCTACTTTTTGGTGATTATGAATAATGCTTCTATGAACATTTGTGTACAGTTTGTGTGTGGGCATAAATTTTCAGTTCTCTTGCCCATACGCCTAGGAATGGAATTGCTGGGTCATGTGGTAATTCTATGTTTAATATTTTAAAAACTGGCAAACTATTTTCCACAGCAGCCACACCATTTTACATTCCCACCAGTAGTGTATGAGAGTTCTAGTTTCCTCACATCCTTGCTAACACTTGTGATTGTCTGTCTTTTTTATTTTAGCCAACCTAGTGGATACTAAATTGTAGCTCATTTGTATTGTTTTTAATGATTAGTCAAAACAATTTGTGTCTGTGTGAAGTTGCTTCAAATTCTTTTTTTATTGTGCTAAAATAAAAGTAACATAATATATATCACTTTAACATTACTAAGTATACAATTCAGTGGTGTTAAGTACTTTTACAATATTGTACAACCATTATCACTATCCACTTCCAGAACTCTTTCCATAGTCTCAAACTGAAACTTTGTGCCCATCAGACAATAGCTTTCATTTCGCCTCTTCCCCAGTCCCTGGTGACTTCTATCTTACATACAATTTCTATGAATTAGCCTATTCTCTGTACTTCATATAAGTGGAATTATACAATATTAGCCCTTTCGTGTCTGGCTTATTTCACTTAGCGTGTTTTCAAGGCTCATCCATGTTGTAGTATGTGTCAGAATTTCATTCTTTTTTTTTTTTGAGACCGAGTCTCACTCTGTTGCCCAGGCTGGAGTGCAATTGCACAATCTTAACTCACTGCAACCTCTGCCTCCTGGGTTCAAGCAATTCTCCTGCTTCAACCTCCTGAGTAGCTGGGATTACAGGTGCCTGCCACCATACCCTGGCTAACTTTTGTGTGTGTGTGTGTGTTTTTTTTTTTTTTTTTTAGCAGAGATGGGGTTTCACCATGTTGGCCAGGCTGATCTTGAACTCCTGACCTCAGGTAACCTGGCTGCCTCAGCCTCCCAAAGTGCTGGTATAACAGGCATGAGCCACCACGCCTGGCCTTAAATTCTTTTTGTAAGCAACTCTGGCCTAATCTTAAATAATAAGCTAACACAGAGAATGTGCCTCACCCTCCAGCATACTGTGTGTTTTGGCTTGAAGATCTTTGGACAGCTTCTCAGAGGAAGACACTACTCCTCCCCACAGTTGCAGCTGTTCACCTCCCAGACTCACTGGTAAAGTTAGAAATGCTTCTGAAAAACTGCCCATCTATATTTTCCTCACAGCAGCTGTGAAGACTTGCTGAGGTGGATTTGAGGTGGGGCTCTCACGGGATAGAGCATTAGAAGAGGGGACATTTCGCTCTCCCTCATGTTTATATACCAGCAATGTCCCGTTGGTCGGGGCAGAAAGTTGAAGCTGCTTTTGCTTATGGAGCTCATAGAATGTGTGTGCACATACCAGCAGGCTTAATTTTAAAATCTGACCCCAGAATTATGCTGTCTACAGTTTTATCTCATTGATTTTTCAAATAAGTGTACTCTAATATGTTGTTTTTAGCTGTAACTGTCTTAAGACATGTTTGTCCAGCACATAGGCTTAGCAAAATCTGTAACTGTTTGAGATGAACTCCATTCTTTATTCATAAAAAAGGTATGAAGCGAATTCCATTGACTTCTGATATGTCATGTTTATACAGTTTTCCTAAATAAATACAAAAGGAGTTATCAGCATTCTCTTGACTTCCTAGATTAAAACTTTGGAACAGACGAAAGCCATTGAAGATCTAAACAAATCCAGAGACCAGCTGGAGAAGATGAAGGAGGAAGCTGAGAAAAAGCTCATGTCTGTCAAGTCAGAACTGGATACCACAGAACATGAGGCTAAGGAGAATAAAGAAAGGGCCAGAAACATGATAGAAGTGGTAACCAGTGAAATGAAGACACTAAGAAAATCTTTGGAAGAAGCAGAAAAGAGAGAAAAGCAGGTGGGTCTAAATCTGGTGATGAAACCTTGTTTAGGAAATGACAGGACAATTCAAGAGCTGGATATTAATAATTATTCATGCATTTCTTTTTTAAAAACTATGGACTGTTTCATGAATTTGTATTTCATCATTTCATGAGGGCTGTGCTAATCTTCTCTGTATTGTTCCAATGTTAACACATGTGCTCCCGAAGCAAGAGCTAGTCACATATTTATTCCAAAGCAATTTACAAAGCTTTCTATATCTTTTCAACATATCCACCTGCCCCTCCAGCATCTTTTGGCATTCAAGTAACCATTATGATTCACCCCGCTAAGAAAAATTGTTCACATTTTCATGGCACAAATTGTAGGAAAGGAAAAGACATTCATAGTCAAGCAGCGGAAGGGTTTCGGTGAAAAAACAGGTTCTGGTTCTGGGAAGGTTTCTGTTACGTTAGGTGATCACCTCTGAAGTTTGCATCATCACAGAGCTCTTAACGTTAACCAGGGCTTCGGCCTCAGGAGGCAAGCCTTATCTGTAGCAGAGATCAGTCGCAGGAAACAGCCACAAATCTCACACAGTGGCACCCAGACTTGATGGCCGACCAGGCACAGATGTAAGCCATAAAAAAAGTACTCATTTGCTTGCTGGCTACAAGGAGGAGCATTTTATCTAGTGAGTCCATCAGGAGGTCAGGCATAAAGAAACATGTACCGGGCAGCTTGACCTCCATTGCTTTTGGCTTTTGTCTGTTTCTCCTTTTGAAGCTCAAAAGGGCATAGAGTGGACTCTGATCCTAGGTTTTTTCCCCCCGCTTTGGCTGCCTCTGTTTTGGTTCATGTGTCAGGCAGAGATGGGGAAAGCCAGACGACACAATGAGTGTTCTCAGAAAGGAAACTTCTTCAGAATGAAAAGCTTTGGCTGCATTGGAAAGGGTGGAAGTCTGAGAGAAACTTTTTCATCAGGGAGGCTAGGTTGGTATCTTAGTCCTTTCAGGCTGCTGTAACAAAGTACTATCTACTAGGTAGGTTATAAATAACAGAAATCTCTTTCTCACAGTTCTGGAGGCTGAGAAGTTCAAGGTCAAGGTGTCTGGTGAGCACAGCTTCCTGGTTCAGAGTCAACCCCTTCTTGCTGTGTCCTCACGTGGTGGAAGGAGCAAGGCAGCTCTCCGGGGCCTCTTTTATAAGGGCACTAATCTTATTCATGAGGGCTCCACCTTCATGATCTAATCACCCACCAAAGGCCCCACCTCCTAATATCTTCACATTGGTCATTAGATTTCAACATAAGAATTTTGAGGTGTCATAAAATTCAAACTGTAACAACTAAAACCATTCCCAAATTGGACTCTGCAAGGGAAGGAGGTTACAGAGTAAATGAGCCTGGGATGGGACTGTTTGGGTGGCATTCTCTTGGATGTAACTGTACTCAGGTTGGATCATCCCTTTTCTAATACGGAGGGTGCCTTTAATGAGGTGTTGGCCAGATGCCCTGATTTATCTGCTTTTGCATTAACCTGGAACCACAGAAACCAGCCTATGAGAATTTGAAGGAGTATGAGGCATATTTCAACCATTGTCCCCAGCCCCCTACTTTTCTTTCAATGGAGAAATAGAAGTCCCAGAGTAGTCCCATGGAATATGGCTTGTGAAATGGCAATCTGTGTGATGTGACTTGGTAGTAATTTAGAAGTCCTCCTGTTTTCATTAACTTATACTTTCTTGCTATTTGTTCTTCTTTTTTTTTTTTTAGTGTAAGAGGTTATCAGCCAGCTAAAATCTCAAAGCATGTTTACCATCCATTGACACAACCCCACCAACATTTGTTTAGGCCTTCCTAGTATGCAGAGCACACACAGTCACCATTTCATGTTATCTGAATTTCAGAACAGCCCTCCGAGGTAGGTGTATGGTTAATCCCAACCTGAAGATGAGAAAATGAAGACTTAGTGAGGTCTGGGTCTCATTCATGGTTACTTAACTTGGATTCTTGACTTAGTAGCCAATACCACATCAGTTGGCTCATCAGAAAAGTGATTGTGAAATCTCTGAAGGTTGGCAGCTGTGGGACTTATCTGGAATCTGGTATTTTATAAGTGAGAGAACTAGGAAGAGGGTAGATAATTTCCCTCCCACATGCAAACCTGGGTTTTCTACAGGTGTTTTGTTTGTTGCATTTGGTTCAGCAGTAGTTGATACATTTTGTTCTCCCAGTTAATGAGTTTCTGTTTGATATTGCAGCTGGCAGACTTCAGGGAGGTGGTGTCCCAGATGCTAGGCTTGAACCTGACCAGCCTTGCTCTTCCTGATTACGAAATCGTCAAGTGTCTTGAAAGACTGATCCATTCACATCAGCATCACTTTTTTACCTGTGTCTGCCTCAAAGATGTGACTGCCGGGCAAGATAGGCACCCACAAGGCCATTTACAACTTCTTCATTGAACACTGTGTCTCTTGAGAGAGGTGGCCATAAGATGTGGGACACAATTCCCAATTTCACAGATTCCTCATGTCTTTGAGATTTGATCAGTTTGTGAATATTTTATGCTTTGATGATATAGTGAGAATGCATCACTTGCAAGAACAATCTCAAAAGTGTCAGCTTTAGATAAACGCTCAGCATTAAAAACGCCTATGATTTCATTTACTAGCATTTTAGGATCCAGAAGAATTCCACCAAATTGCATGAGTTAGATTGGGAAATGGGAGTGGGAGATTAACATTGGGGGGTATCTATTTTAAGTCAGGGGCTTTACTGGCCAATTTAGTTCTCATAATAACCATGTAGAGAAGCTGTGACATTTTTATTTTACAACCTTTCTGGGGCTCAGACATGGAGTTACCTATCCAAGGTTGAGGTTGGGTAGTGGTGGAACCAGGATGGACAACTCATTGACCCGGCCTCAAAGACCATGCCTCTTCTCCTGCTACACAGACTCAGCTTTTCCTGAATCTCTATGATGCTGGTGGGAATTGCTTGCATATAGGGAGAAAAATACCCCTGCCATCAAGAGTTAATATCTAGGCTGGGCACGGTGGTTCACGCCTGTAATCCCAGCACTTTGGGAGGCCAAGGAGGGCATATCATTTGAGGTCAGAAGTTTGAGACCAGCCTGGCCAAGATGGTGAGACCCTGTTTCTACTAAAAATACAAAAAATTAGTCAGGTGTGGTGGTGCGCGCCTGTAATCCCAGCTACTCAGCAGGAAAAGCACTTGAACCCAGGAGATGGAGGCTGCAGTGAGCCAAGATTGTGCCATTGTACTCCAGCCTGGGCAACAGAGTGAGACTACATCTCAGAAAAAAAAAAAAAAAAAAGAGTTAATGTCCATAAATGACAGATTTACAAGTGTAAACTATGTGAGTTCTTCAAAAAGCAAAAGCAATATACCTAATTCATTTGGATCAAACTTACATCGGTCTCAGGTCCTGTAAGAAACTTGCCTGTTCTAACTGTTGCTGCGAGATTACATCTGGTGGTAATTGTTAATGTTTCAGCAGGGCCGATCTCAGTCCTTTAAAGTGGAAAGCTTTATTGTGAGCCCAACCTTATAAGATGAAGAAATCCTATACAGTCTTATTCACCAATATATCCAATACACCCACAGCAATGGTACCTTTTTAAGATCAGGATTTTATTATGAATTCCTGTCACTTTCTGTTTTCCATTTAAATTTCTATTTTATAAGTTTTTCAGGGAATCATATTCTTCACTGAGAAAAATGTGTTACTCTTTTGGACAATTTATCTTATTTCTATCATATAAAATGTATTTTTTTTTATTGACCTTAAAAGAAACTCTAGCATGAAATTAAAGGAAAGGGGAAAAAATAGATCTGGTGCACCCAAACATTAGGAGAAAATGAAAAATATACAGCCAACCGTTTGTGAGTCATCAAAAAGTCAAAGTCAGCCTGGTCAACATGGCAAAACCCCATCTCTACAAAAAATACAAAAATAAGCTTGGTGTAGTGGCGTGTGCCTGTAATCCCAGCTACTCAAGAGGCCGAGACATGAGAATTGCTTGAACCCAGGAGGCGGAGGTTTCAATGAGCCGAGATCGTGCCACTGCACTCCAGCCTGGGCAAGAGAGAGAGAGACCTTGTCTCAAAAAACAAAACAAAAAAAGTCAAAGTCATAATAAGCAAATTATTGGCTTCTTTCTTCTAGACTAAAAGAAATTAAAGAGTTGAAACAATCAATTGCAAGGGCTGAAACTAGATTGGATCTTGGTTTGAATTTTAAAAGAGCATAAAATATTCTTGCAATAATTGTAAAAATTTGAATGCGGACTCAGTCCTAGATTGTATTAAAATATTTTTAATTTTTTAAGCTTGACAAACGCACTGATTGTTATACTTTAAATAACCAAAAATCTGAGAATCCACAGTGCTACAGAAAATAAGTGATAAAATGGGAAAAAATAGTGAAGAACTTCTTTTAGGAAAACTACCAATAAATGTAGAATGGATGATTCAAAAAAAAAAAAAAAAGATAAAAGAAAGAAAAGGAAAAATCTAAAAGAAAGAAATGAATTTGACACCTACTGGTTGGATGACACACCACACAGAGGGATAGTGACCAGGCTTTGCTTGTGGAGCGGGCATCCCTGCCCGGCTTTCTCCTTTATGTGCATGGACAGTATGAGTAGCATTTTGCATGTGAGTAAACATATCTGTGCAGCCCTGACTGAGGTCGCTAGGCTGGCCAGAGGCAGGACAGGCAGTTTTCCCCACCAACCCCTTTTCACATGCTCCAAAGATGTAGTCGTGGCTGCTATTTTGGATCCAAAATCACCTTGAGTGGAGGAAGTTACTTCACTGGGTCTCTGGAGGCTCTCAGAGCTTGAGTGGCTCTGCTCCACCCTGAATCATGCACCCATAAATGCAGTTATGGGTGGATGTGGGTGTATGAGAGTGGAGATTGTTTTTATCCTTTCCCTTTGTTTTCATTTTCCAAATATAATCTTTAATAAATTTGATTTTCTTGGGAAATTTATTTTCTACACTATTCAAAGATATTTTAAATAATATTTTCAAAACATGAAATATATTTTTTTCATTTTTGATTTAGTATCATTAATCATATATCAGGATTTATGTAAGAGACTAAAAATGATCCATAGTGGTTAGTACTGTACTTTCTGTTTATTACATGAAATTACATTCCATTTGTCCAAATACATGTTTATATAATATTTCCACTGTGTGACTCTAGTGATCTTTAAGTGATCTACAGTGATCTTTAAGATACGTAGAAATATGAAAAATGTTTGTATATGATCTTTAGGGACTTCTAGTGAAAAGGGTATATGAAATGGGAAAAATAAATTCTGTACATGTATACAGTTCATATACACATTTCTTTTCATTTGGACAAATTGAAAATCTTTTAATAAAGCCATTTGCTTCTTTGTTAAAATGCCAATTGGTTGTTGGGTTTCCCTTTGTGGCAATCATTCCAGAGTTGGCAGGCCAGCTTTGAATTTTTAGGTTAGATTTTGTTCTTCTATAATATCCATGTATATTTTATGTTGTCCAATAAAATGCACTAGTTTGATATGCTTTTTACATAAGGCTTTAAAATATTTAATACTAACTCTTCTATCAAATACACTTGAGTGATAGTGATATTTGCTACTGAGGTGATTATTCTGGTCACTGTCTGTGACATGTAAATAGATGCATAAAACTATCTCAATTAGGGAAAACAATTTAAGCTTGACCCATCTGAAATCTCCAGTTTTACCTTACGGTCTCTTTTACAGATGAACAGCAATTGATTCAAGGCTCAGGGGTGGCAGGCTGGAGCTGTTAAAGAAGTCTACTTTACTGATATTGTGATAATACTTACGACTCAGAATTGGAGTCTCATTTTCACTGGGGAAGCATTTCATGGCTATGCAGCCTTTGGCTTGGAAAGTCTCACCCAGTTGATGCAGTAGTGATTTTATCCACATTATTGGACATATGCAGTAGTGATTTTATCCACTTCACTTCGCTTCTCGTTAGCAAGTGGGGTCTGTATGCTTCTCTTTCCACTATGTGCTTCCATACCGTATTCCTCTGCCTTTGTATAAAAACATGGTTCATTTGAGGCTCCTGCTAGCTGACAGACAGATAACTTTCTTCTAGACCTCTTTGGGGTTACCTACTAAAAACCTATCTATTCTCCCTGCTTAAGACTTTTGCAAGTGGTTCATAAGTGTCTTCACTACTCCCACTGGGTGCTGCCTTCATCTTGGGTAGCTTTAATGCCTGTAAGGCCAACTCATGCAGCATCATATCTTTTCATTTTATTTTTTTTGAGACCGAGTCTCAGTCTGTCACCAGACTGGAGTGCAGTGGCGTGACCTCGGCTCACTGCAACCTCCTCCTCCTGGGTTCAATTGATTCTCCTGCCTCAGCCTCCCCAGCAGCTGGGACTGTAGGCACGTGCCACCATGCCTGGCTAATTTTTGTATTTTTAGTAGAGATGGAGTTTCGCCATGTTGGCCAGGATGGTCTCGATCTCTTGACTTTGTGATTCACCTGCCTTGGCCTCCCAAAGTGCTGGAATTACAGACATGAGCCACCATACCCAGCCTATGTCTTTAGTTCCTTGGCCTTCTCAGTGCTTATACTTTTATCTCCTTTTGTTTCAGTCACTCACATCCTAGATTGCAGTTTATAGTAATCCAATTTAGATTACCTTAAACTGAAAGGAGAATTTTGGGGGCTTGCTTGAAAGATTCAGGGATAGACTAACTTCAGCTTGGTTAGATCCAAGGATTCAGAATTGGTGTCTGGATTCTTTCTGCTTCTATCCATCTCTCATGTTGATTTGATTTTGCTTGTCTTTGCATGTTGGACTTTTTCCTTCCGCATATAGGTTCCTCTATGCTACCAGAAGAGATAATCACAAGCAGTTGCATGATTTTTACAACTGATGTGGTCACGTGGCTCACGCCTGTAATCTCAGCACTTTGGAAGGCTGAGAAGGGTGTAATGCTTGAGCTCAGGAGTTCGAGACCATTCTGGGCAAAAATCAGAACAAAACAAACAAACAAACAAAACTGAAAAAACCCCCACGAGCCGAGAAAAAGAGATACCCCTTGTCTCCAAGTGTCCATGCAAAAAATATTACTGGAGAGCCTGATCATCTCTTCCAGGTCATATACCTATCCTTGAACCAATCACTGTAGCCAGGTGGATGAACTCACTCACCAGCCTGCATCCCATGCCAACCACTGTTAGTGAAGTTGGGGTCGGGTGATGCTCTAGGATTACCTGTTCAACCAGGACCACATATAATGACAGAGGGAAAGTTCCCCAAAGGAAGGGCAGCTGGTCAGACACACACACGCGCACACACACACACACACACACTTCTGTGACACGTGGCCTGTCAGGACTGTCTAATACCTAGAACTTATGCACCTCTGAAATCGTAATTAAAAAGCTCCACAACCTCTTATCATCCCAAACCTTTATCTCTTACTCCCAAATAGCTGTGCTTTGAGCCTTTGAGCCATTGCGTTTCCCTGGTCCTCCTATTTTCTCCCTCCCAGTCTTGCCCATCCTCATTCCATCTGGAGCCAGCCTAGATATTAAGGTTCATTTCTTCAATCATTCTCTTCCTAACACCTTTAACTCCCTGTTCCCTTGCCCTTCTGTCCTCGACTTTGAATTACTCCCAACTGCCAATGTTTCTGTTGCTTTTCCTGCCCCACTGAATGAAGCTGGAGAAAAATCACATGAAATCACAGCTAAGTGGCATCCCAAATTTCATGGTTTTTGATCTCATCTGAGCCTCCTGTCGTAACTGGTAAAGCTGCACTGTTTTCCCTGTTACGTGTCTCTGTCATTTTCCAAAATGATTTTTGCAAATATGCCTTTTTCCTTTGAGGCTCTTTTCCTATGTCTTCCCTCTTCACCCTCAGCAGACAATCTCATCTCCTATTTCACCCAGCAAAAAGAAGCCATTATAGGAAACATCTTCAATATCACATCCTAATACAGCCTTACATGTGTCCACACCCCCTTTACCTCCTTGCCTCTCCCTGTCTCAGCTATTTTCTCTACCTGGGCACTTGCATCGTCAGCAACTTAGCCCCATCAATTGTTTTCCTCTCTTTCCAGTGTTGTCAACCTCACGTTCACAAATGACTTATTTCCATCAGCATTTAAATATGTTCAAATCTCTCTCATCTTAAAGACATCCCTCTCTCTACTCCACAGCAACTTCTTCTCCGAGCCCTACCTCCATCTTCTTCTCCCCAGTTGAGCCCCTTGGAAGTGTCCTGTATATGCTGTCTTTCT